TGAAAATTCTAACAAATTTTATTGTTTCTAAATTTTAACAATTTTACTGTTTTACATTATGAAACATAATGTTGCAAACAAAATTAAAAATTTATAATAAAATAACTAGAATATAACAAGCAATAAAGAACATTTTAATTTATATTAAATTTCGTGTCTTATTGTTAGTTATTATAAAAATTGGATCATTTTGATATCGCGAGATATCGCGGTAAAAACTGAAAGTATAGCTACGATAGTATTCGTTATTTAACATTGTTCCAGGTGTTGATTAAAATTTGATATCGTAAAAAAAATTTATCTCCATAATTTTATTTTTATATGTGCGTATAAGATAAAACACTAAAAAGAAAAAGAATGAAGAAATCGTAAATGAAAGATAAATGGAGATACAGAGCATGAAAGGATTTTCATAAGCATCGTTAGTTTATTAACAATGTTACACGCACAATCATACATAAAACAACCTTGATTATAGATATTGTATATCGCTCGTTTACAGAAACGAGCTTCGTTATATTGTTTTAAGTCGTTATCTGTATGCCATGTCCGTGTTATGTGCCAGTAAATCGTGTCGATTGTACGAAACAGACATTACTTTATAAAATAGGATGATTTAACTGAATTTACAGAAGAGAAAAACAAAGAAGAGGGAGACATAAAGAATCGGAAGGAAGGTAGCTGAAGAAATCAGAAGATAGGTGGAAAAGAGAATAAAAAAAAAAAATTACTAATTCATCCCCCTCCACATATAAAAATTACAAATTACATTTAGACATGCTGGATTTAATATTATACATGTTATAAAAGTTTTCTTTTTCTTCTTTTCCTTTTTTCTTACGGTAAGAAATAAATAAATATCTACGTCCCTTGTATTGTTAGAATTTACATGATACTCTTTACTATCCGGTAAACGATTCTGCAATAAGAATTCGAAATTCACAGAAGGAAAAGGGAAATTATTGACAAATATCGTCTATACATCGGCACTAAAGATTTAATATTTCTTTTTTTTTTTTTTTTTTTTTTATTGCATATTAATATTACCATTTTTCTTCTAAGGCTTTCTCTTTCTTTCTCTTCTGTTCTCGCACATTTAAAAAATTGATAGTATGGGAAAGATCAAGTGTTTACGATTCTTTATATTCTTTTCTTTTTCCACAATTGTATTTCAATATCGCGTACGTGTATGTTACGTACATAGGTGCATAAGTAAATAGGTGTAAAAGAAAAAGGGTAGAAACTAGCGGCACAATGAAGATAGATACAACGAAACTACAGTTATTCGCAAATTTTTTTCGAAAATATGCTTTCCAATTTATAGAAATTTTCTTCATTTTATTTTAATATTCTTTTTATCCAAAATTGTTATAAAACTCGACAGCACTTAAACAATAAAATCATAAATAAATTATATAGTCGTTTTGTGGTTGCCTTAATTTCAATTTATTTTTTATTTAATACACGAGACTCTATGAATCCCGTTGAGAAATACTAATAAACTTTTCTTTTTCTCTTTCATTTTTTTTTTTTTTTATTCGTCCGTTAACTTCAAAAGTCGTTTTTTTATTCATCCGTTGACTTCAAAAGCCGAAATCATTTTCTTCTTTTGCGCAACTAAGAAGACCGCTTCCGTGGTGAAGGATACGAACGAGAAAAGAGAAACGAATATATGTATAATAATGTAATCGACGACGAAAAGAAAATATTACATTCCCTATATTTTCGTGGATCAAATCGAAAACATCTCGTCTTCCTTTCTCGTTCCTAGGTTGGTCCACGAAAAAGTGCTTCCCCGTAGTCGAAGAAGGTGGGAAGTCTATTTTTCTCTCTCTATTATATTTTGTCTCATTATGCAACGCAATAATTCTTTCATTATGCTTTTAGTTCGTCGTTTGATAACCAGATCGTATGTTAATTTTTTTTTTACACTCGAAATCATCGTCCCTTTAAACGAAAGATTATTAAATAGTGTTAGGGTACGACAAATCGACACTTTGATTTTTTTTCATTTATTTTTTGAAACAATTAATCGAATCGATTAATTTTTTAAAACTAAAATTAATCGTGTCGATTAACAAATTTTGATCGATGGATCGATTCGATCTTGAACGCTCTCGAATATTCTCCTAGTATTCGCAATACAGAAAACTATAGCAAACTCAAGAAAAATCAACAAGGCGTTCCGATTACAATTAGTGATTCAGAAATATTTTTTTTATTTTATTTTAAGGGTGCATATACCACTGTAAAATTTGAAGAATCTCACTATATCGCCTTTTCTTTGATAAGTGAAAAATACTATGTCATAGTACATGCGTTACTGTCCAATAAAAAAAATAAAAAATAAATTACAACTTTGTGAAGTCTACAGCAAGAATAAAAAAAGAAGAAACAATGTGAAAAATATTCAAAAAATAAAAATTTAGTCTGAAAGAGGACGTACATCAAGAAGATTGTACCGTCGTCAATTCGAAATTTCTTTTAATAAACAAAAACATATAAAACATTTCGTCAAATCGAAGAATCGATTCTCCTGGTAAATATTCAATAGACCATTTTCTTCCAATTTTACATCATACATTGATATGTTCCCTTACGAATTGGCATGTTTTAACAACTTTTCTATAACGACTTTCAGCAATAAGACTTTGTTTGGTATTGTATCCGTCTTGCCATTTGAAGTTAGAATTCACAACGAATTCATCTCGATTGGCACAGAAAACTGCTTACAGGTGGAGTTTACACATGAAACCGAGTCGAACTCTCAACATGTGAAGCAGCACTCTACAGTTTGCAAAAAAAAACAAATTTTAATAGGAAATTAAATAGAATCGAACAGAAGACACGATGAATTTTCTAATTTCATATATAAACTCTAAGAAAATAAATATAATAATCACAAAAAAAATTAGCATTACCCGTAATAACAATTAAGCGTTTCATATCATCGTAAACAACTATTACTCGTTCGAAAAAAATTTAATTAATATCAACAATCACGATCCACAAGTCGGATCGCTGTGTTCTATCTTTTTACAACGCTTTTCTAGCTTCCTCTCTCATCTTTTTATCGTTTTTTTTTTTTTGTATCCTTAAAGAAATAACTGATTACGTATCAACCTAACAATTTACTTCCGTTTATACGCGTACACATTCTATACTTTGCATGTAAGTAATGCCTATTTTCCAAATGTATGAAATATGCTCCGACCAGGAAATTATGTCGCGACTCTTGAGACATCAACTTAGGGTAGTTTCGTTAATTTTCCTCTATCTCCTCCGAATACTCATGTCGAGGCACATTATCTTCTTCCTCATTCATTCACTTTTTTCTATTTATTTCGCTTTCGCTCTCGTTCTCTCTTTCTCTCCCCGCCCCCCTCTCTCTCTCTCTCTCACTCTCTCCAACGCGCGCGCTCACTCATTCACTCTCTCTTCTACTCACTCTTTCTTCCACTCAATTCTACGCATTCCCATGATACCAAGGCCCGCAATGCGATTTATTTTTACAGAAAATGAATTTTTTGTACTATCGATATACGTCGAATGCGTGGGCAAGGTATCACAGTTATGCGCGAGTATCCATCGGCGTGTATACATCGCTATATCGAGTCGATGATTAATACAGTATGCATACACTATTTCATACATGAAATTTTTCATGTTGAAAGTCTCACATTTGCATTTTACATCCATTTTTTTCAATCCTAATGGCATGCTATTTTGTAAATTATTAATAATAACAATCATTATAATAATATCGATGAACATAATCTTTCCGATGTAAAATACAAAAAAATAATATAGTATATGGATAAATTTGTTTTCATTCCTGAATTTCTAAGACGTAAATAAAATTTGTCTGTATTTAATATCTAATATCAAATTGAAAATGAATCTTATTAATAATATCTAATATCAATTTGAAAATGAATCTTATTAATAATCCGTTGGTGATTAATAAGATTCATTTGTTGCAAATAAACGAGGATTAATGTTGCAAATAAAACATTGCTGGACGAAATTGCGTATGCACACAGAAATCCTTATTACGCAATAGTTAAACGCAAGATAAAAATTCGCAGTGTCCGTCGAACGATGTTACAACGAATTTTCTCGCGTTTATTCTCTTGATTCATTGCAAAAGGAATACTTCTTTTCATAATCCATGTTATTCATAAACTGTATATGATGATCCACGGTTAAAAAATGCATTGTTGCACAATATGTTTGCAATTTTTTTTCTATTTCGTTTTCTTCCTTCAAGTCTTAGCATCGCTTTTTTTTCGTCTTCTTTCGTTTTTCTTTTTGATTCATAATCGTATCCTCTTGACGGTATATACATCCATATGCAATATTATTTTTTTTTTTTTTTTTTCATTTAGTATAAATATCTTATCCAGTGACTTTGATGCACATAGGCAATTGAAAAATTCAATACACACGAGTATATAGTTTTGTTTAATAGAAGATGCGTGGACTTAATGAGGATTTCCCTTAATCTTACGCGTATTAATATGTGATGCTTATGAGTTTATGAGCTACTATACTAAAGGAAAAACATACACCACTGAAAGATTATATTGTTACTTTATCGCGATCGCCCTCGTTATACTCGGATCGCTGAAAGCTACGTTTGCACTGTGCATACGTTCGGTGGAGATACGATGCTCAAATTAAGCAAATTTTCACTTATTTTTCCCTCTTGCACAAACGAATCGTTTTTGTAATTGCATTGCAATGAACATCGTTACACCACCATCCCATATATAAGTAGTGAAGCACATGAAAAACATAGCAGTAAGCTAAGTAATATGCAAATATTGGAAAACTTCCACTAATTCTATGCAAAGTATAGCTTGTAGGATACCATTCATTAAAACTAGGACTTATCGTTATTAGAATTATAATTCAGCTGCTTCTTTTCTTTTTCTTTTTCTTTTTCTTTTTCTTTTTCCTTTTTATTTCATAAATCTTTCTTTTATTCTATGGATTTTTCATGCGCATATGGTTATGAATTCTGTTCCATTTATCAACAAATTTGCTTTCTGTGATTGACCAAAAACAAATTTGTCCAGAACCACATCTTCGCAAATACTATATATATATATCTATATATTTATAGAAATGAAACTATTCTTATCATTAGTTACATATAATTTATGTACAATTTAACAATTGGTTGCAATTATTTTTCTCTCCGTCTCTCTTCCTTTTTTTCCTTTCTCTTTCTCTCTCTCTCTCGAATTTCAATGATATTAGATAAATTGTGTCATAAAATTAGTCGAGCTCAACTTACTATGCCCTGCCGTGTCACGTTAAATGATGAAATTAAAATGATTTTTTTTCTCTTCTCTGGGTAATATGTTCCTTCTTTGTACAGATATATACGCATATATACGTATGAAAGCATTTCAGAGAGAATTTCTTCAAATGATTATTAATAATAATCGTTAACCGTGTATCTTGTGCAATTTTGCCAAAATACCAGTTATCACTCCCATGCGTATCAATTCGCACAGACTGGTTAAAATTTATTTCAAAATGGATCAAAAATTGAAATAATTTTTACCAAATCTCCTCCATATAACATATCGATATCGCTCAACCAGATAGATTGGCAAATTCGTCGATTACTATTTTTGCACGCGAGATACACATGAATGTTCTTCAGTTTTATTGAAAAATAATAATACGATTCCATGAGTTCGTGCCGTTATCATCTTAGTTGTTTGTTTGTTTTTCATTTTTCTTCTTCTTCTATTTGCGGTTACGAACTTTTATTCGAGAATATGTATATGTATATGTATAGAAAAAATCATTTTTACTTGTTAAATCTTGGTGGTCTCCTCAATCGTGGTATCAATTCTGCTCTAACTGTTCTAGCATAATTTGGAGCAGCATACTGATCCGTTACAGCGATAGGACTTTGCAGACTTTGGATGAACATTGGTGACTCTTGTAGTTGTCCCACACCCGCTTGATATTGATACTGACTGTTTGTTATATCCGCTGTCGGATAATGATTAGGTTGCACGAATTGAGGAGGATTATCATACTGCGGATATGGAATAGAACTTTCTGCGGAAAATTGAGGAATTACTGGGTTTACATTCACTGGTGTAGTTGCAAAACTACTAGGATCATAAGTTTGATATTGATTCAGTTGTCCAATTTGCGTTGTACTGAATGGAGGTGATTGAGGAAATTGAGAAGTGTCGGGAAATAGCACACTCGCAACGGTTGGTTGAGGAAAATTTTCTGGTCTGGGATAAGGTGACATATTTGCTGTGACATTGCTTAAATTTTGAACATTTGGAATACCAGCGATTTGTGATGTGCCATAACTGTGGAAAGTTTGCCTGCTGTGATCAAGATCTTTCACGCCACTTTGTAGAGAACTTGCTACGTTCAATTTCGATTTAGAATTTGGACCACCAATATCATTATGCTTGGTTCTTGCTTCTGTAACAAAAGGATGGCGAACGTTCACAATACTCTGTGGAGCGCGCAACGGTGGAAAATTGATTGGTGTCATTTTCGACGCGGAATTCTGTTGTTCTAAAGCTTTTCTAGCCAGAGCAAATGCGGTATTATCGTTTCGTGACACTGGCCGAGATTGATGTGTATTGGAAGATATTCCATGATTTTCTCTGTGCAAACTTTGAATAGATGATTGATTTACAAATCTTGATGATAAGTTGTTCATAGTTGCGCTATTTCTTGACTTATAGTCCTGATTGTTTACAGATGATTCTTTGTACTCAGATTGTATTTGATAATTCTTCATTTTCGAATCAATTTCACTGGAAAACTTTTTAGCAGAATAATCCTTAGACTTGGATGTACTTTCGTGAGAAACACTACTACCAACACATGCTGCAGTAATACCTCTTACACTACTAAAAGTAGAATTAGATTGATTTGTGGTCACAATTGACGCATTCTTCGTTAGTTGCTCGGTAGATTTTAAATTCTGATTGTTTCCATTGTTCTTTTTTATAGATGAATTCATCCTATTTGAAGAAACTGTAACAGTTGACGTTGTGGTGAGTGTACTTAATGTAGTGTCTTTATTCCCCATTGCAGTGTTTACTGCTCTGACAGATGGTTTTGACAACCTACTTTTATTTCCCACATGATCAAGCTTTTGACTGTTTTTACCCTTATCCGCTACTTGATTGTTTGGTAAAATTTTGGAATCTGTACTGTTATTTTGATTTTTGGACAACAAATTATTACGAGTTTTACAATTGATAGTGACATCTGGCAGGAGCAAAGCGCTGGCTCACTTTTTGGTCATGATTTTAAGATATTCCAGAGCGTTTTGAGCAGCACTAGCTTGAGCATCTTTACTAGTAACACCACAACCATAGCAAACTGCCACTGGCAAGGTAGACAGCTGTACAAGGCACTGGCATTTACCTGTAACAATAAAGCAAACATTTATTTAATCCAATTTATATATATTTTCATATCATTATTAATTTAATTATAATGAACAATATAAAAATTGCAATATAAGTATTAGAATTTCCAACTTAGATATCGTAAAACTAATATGTGAAGATAGTAAATTCCAAAAAATTAAATATTTAGATAAAATAAAAGACTATTTAGAGCAAACAATAACACAGTAAACAACATGTAAATATATAACTATAGATAACGAACTGTGATAACTATGTCATAGGTCATATATATGTTTTTATAGAGTTCCTTTTCTGTAAGACATTGATACACATAAGAATTATGGCTGGAGTAAAATCTGCTAAAATTGCTTTACGTAAAAAAATGAAAGACATCATTGCACAACTTAGTATTGAAGAAAAACAAAGACAATCAAGAATAGTATTTGAGAAGGTAAGTATATTATATTAAGATAAATATACTAATTTACAGAAGAGGTTATGTTATATCTTTATCTAAAACTATTTCTAACAAACATATTTCTATGTACATAGCTATGTTCTCTACCACAGTTTCAAGAAAGCAAAAGAATTTCTTTATATCTAAGTACAAAAGATGAAATTGATACAATTCAAATATTAAAATATATACTTGACAAAAAAAAAGAAGTGTTTGTTCCTAGATATAAAGGAAAAGAAATGGAAATGATCAAAGTACTTTCAATGCAAGATTATGAAACACTACCATTAACAAAGTGGAATATTAAACAACCAAATGTCAATGAACTTAGGGAAAATGCATTAGAAACGGGTAAAATAAATAATTAATTTATGTAACTATATTCTCAATTATTGTATTATTGATATTTTAATATCTAAACTCTTCATTAAATTTAATAAAATATAAAACTTAACATTTTACAAAATTATATGTATTTCAGGTGGCTTAGATTTAATAATTTTACCAGGTGTTGCATTTACTGCTAATGGTAAGTAAAATTTAATTTATATAAATTATTTTTAAAATAATTATAATCTTTCAAAACTATAATAATACGTATTATTAATTAGGAAAACGTTTGGGACATGGGATGGGTTATTATGACAAATTTTTGGATTTATGTATAAAAACACAACAAAAAAAACCACATTTAATTGCAGTGGCATTTAATGAACAATTATGGGAAGATATTCCTACATCTGAAAATGATGTGATTTTGGATCTTGTACTTACAGAAAAATAATTTATCATGAAAAAATTTGTTTTTTATTAATATTTTTAACTTAAATATATTTTTTAATAAATAATTTAAATATAAAAATACATTAATTAATGATCTGTATATGATGAAATTTAATACAAAAAAATGAATAACTTACCACTGATAGACCTTTCTTCAATATCAACATAAGTTACTTCAAATTGCTGCTCTGAGGCAATTTCTTGCAAAAACTGTACCAAATTTACATCCCCATCATTCAAACATGTATTCTATAACAAAAAGAAACAATACAACAAATTTAAAAAAGTTAAAAAGTTTAATTTATTTTTATATCTGCTTTGAAGCAGAGTAAAAATAATGTGTTCCAATTAATTATATTACAAACCTGTAATTCAAAAAGTTTAACACCAGTGGATGACTTCAGACTTTTATGAAATTGTGAAACCTTAAGGCTATGAATAGTTGTTAGAGTTGAAATTTTGCTACCTTTCAAATCAGCGTATCGGGCACTCAGATTTGCATTTCTTTGTAAAACCTATAACGGACAATTAATATATGTAAATATTTATCTAAATGCTTATCATTGGACCAATGACTGACTATATACAGAGTAAAATGAAGTGGAAATGATCCAAACATGTTATTGTTGAATATATGCTGTTAAGTAAATGACTCATAAATTACATATAATTAAAATTTTATTATCCGTTATAGATTCAGAATGATCAGAAAGGTAGCTCATACTTCATAATACTGCTTCCAATGCCAAATCACTTCCACTTCACTAAGCATACACACACATACACAACAAAGACAATTCACATTCAAATACACCTTACATAAATATATTAATACCATTTCATCATATCAAATGTATAAAAAATATTCAACATTTAATTTTAGACAATTAAATTATATATAAATAAATAAAATATTCTTACCTCATCTTCATCTATATTAGGGTTTTCTGTCAAATAATGTAAAGCTTGCCACATTTTATGAGCTGCATGTCTTTTTGCAACTTTCTTACTTTTTCCTTGGCCAACTTCTCGATATTTTAAAACAGAACAAACAATTGTGAATTGCCTTTCATGTGGCAAACCCTCCTCATTTTCTATTGTATATTTTGGCGGAGGCCAATGACGTGACATGCACATTTCTTGTAATGCTCCAATTGGATTTGTAATTACTTTTTCTTCTCCATATCCAGATAGTTCTTGCAAATTTTCAGAACTGTACACAAAATAAGATAAATTATAAAATATGTATATACATATGAAAAATAACATACACAGATATGTTTATTAATATTTTACTCTGGTAGATTATTTGGAAGTGGAGAATCTGGGGTTTCACTATTTAGTCTACAAAGTTTATCCAATACAGCTCTTGCAGCAGCATGTTTTGCCTCTTTCTTTGACTTCCCAGTCCCCATTGCTGAAACAATTGGATCTACTTCAATCATCAGACACTTATCATTCAACATTTTTGCTCGATGATGAATATGTTAATTTTTAAAAGAATTTACAAAAAGAAGAAAAGAAAGACCAAATAAATATTAACTCCCATTGAAACTACAAGTTTAATTCACAAAATCACAGTCAGAATCATCAAATAAAGATAGATATTGTTGAAATGCAAGTTTCAATTAAATTAGAAATTTAGTAAATAAATTATAAAAAATACATGTATCAAAATTAGATACAAACCAACAACATCAGCAACAGTAACTCGATAACGAAAAATAGGCTCATGGATAGCACCCTCTACTTGTATTAATTCATACTTTGGTGTTGTGCCCCTACGAGAAAGCAATTCCTGAAGAATAGAAACTGGTGTTTTGTTGGATAATGATTTCATCTCCAATTGAGCGGCCTCACTTATTGGACGTTTTCCTATCATCAAACTGTGTAATGATGACCGAACTCTGTTACGCCGATTAACATTATTTGAGTGATTAGGAACCCCACCTACACTGGCCATCATATTAGGCCCAACCTGTTGTGGTTGATGCATTTCCTCCATTTTTGCAATCTATAATTAAAATAAATTTATATAACTATGCAACTTTTTAATAAAAGTTTGATTTAAAAAATTTAATAAGTGATTAAACCATATCTTTAATCTATAACACATTACAATCACTCGATATAAAATTGTTAATTTAACTATATCATGTTTTCCTCTAAAAATTATTTGCTTATTGTCATTTCATTAAATTTTAAATTATAAATTTTATGTTATCAAGTAAACAATCAAATTAAAAGATGTGAGATATTGAAAACTTCTAAAAACTATTTTTATTTACTAACGTTCAAATCAATATCAAATCAATATATAATGTTCAAAATCACAACACAGGAAATTCTTCTTTTTGAACAAATTTGTCTTATGACATATCATATCATATTAATGTTATTCATTTTAAACCTTTTTGTAACCTCACCAAAAATAAAATAATAAATTATTGTAACATGTAAAACCATCCAAATATTTTAGTAAAATACTTAATGAGGAGCACAATATCTATACAGTATAAAACAGTAGGAAAACCGGCTGGCGGCCATGATTGTTATAAAATTCATTGATTAATTCTAGTATGTAAAGCACAGAAAATTCAACAACGAAATACAAAGATTAAGCTTTATTGCGAATTTGAATTCACCAAGAACAGGGCCAATAACGAGCTACACTACTGACAAAGTTCTATTTAAAACAATGATAAAAAAAGTGCATAGAGCAACCGGTCATAGTTCGCTACACAATCTAGAAAATCACAATTTTATCTTTACTTACAATTTTTAAACGTTCTATATATATTAACTGGCTCCTTAACAGGCCAATTCCTATGCGAAAAGCGAATCCCGCTTTTTGTGACCGATCCAAGTCTCACAAAAAGCTTGATCCGTTTGACGACAGAAAAATGGTTTACTGACTACCGGAGAATCTTCCTCGTTCCTGATTCTGCCGCAGTCTACGATCTGAACAGTTTTTATAGACGCAGAAAGCACGCGCATTCTTCTGCGCAAGTGCATTACTGGCGGTTTTAGAGAACAAATTCTATTATATTTTTAAAATAAAATATAAGGCAACATTGTACTAAAATATATAAATGCTCAAACATTTATTTTGATCATATAATGTAATATTTGACAATTGGTTATATGAGAAAAGATATATTCAATATACAAAATATACTATTTTAATAAAAATATAATGACTATTTCTTTTCCGAAATATCCATTTACAAATGTTCAACTTTTCTTTAATTTAAAGCTTACCAAATACAAACTTATATATAATAAAAATATATTAATTTCATGTGTTGGTGCATTTTACTGATACTATATATATGAATTTACTATGATACTATATATATATATGAATTTTAATGGACTTGAAATTTAAATATTAAGATATTATTATAAATCATATATTATTATAAATGATCATATATTATTATAAATCATAGTTTACATGTTTGGTAAATTTTGTTTTATATATTATCGAGTAAAAACAAGAATTTGAGCATTATACAACAATTTACAATACTATGTATATTCAAATTGGCGCCAATTTGAGAAATACGTCGCCATTTTCAATTTTTACTATCGTTTCTTGGCAACACCGGATGTTGGTATGTTTCGCATTTGTATACCACCTGGAATCATCATTTCCGGTTGTTACCCGCTGAAACAGTCTAAAGATTGTACGCCATTATTGCAAACTGACGCTACGGCGTATTATTCCATAACATTTTGTTCAGTTTTTGCTACATTTATCTCATTTATACATAGTTGAAGTTCTACAATGAGTGATATCGAGGTAAATTTTACATTTTCCTTCTTTAAATAACAATTTTACATATAATTTTATACATATTATGGTCATAACGACATGCGGCTGATTACAGCCATTATCGATCCATCAGTATTCAAGTATGTTTCACGTTTATGTTACGATTGTAATATCTTTATTTTACCTTTAAACATTTAAGAATTTACGAAATTTTTTGAAATGACGTTACTAATCTTTTTAGTTTTTACAATATGTACTTGTTATCCTAACTAATTTGCTGTAACTCTGTTTAAATATAATTTAGAAGGTTAAACTTTTGAATCTTTGTGATTATTAGAAATACTAAAATTTGAAGAATAATATAATTTAATTATACGATGATTTGTATTTTTTTTGTTCTTGGATAGTTCAAAAAATAAAAGAACTATAAATAAATCAAAATAATCACAAAATGCTAAAATTATGATATTTTTTTAGCGGAGTGGTAGTCGTAGTGCAAGTCCTAGAAGACCAAGAACAGCAGATGGAGGATTAAGAGATTCACGTTCACATTCAAGATCACGTAAATCAAGAGAACGTAAAGAATCCCACCGACCAGTAAAAGAATATTCAAGATCACGAAGTCGCTCAGTGTCAAGGGGAAGAAAATCTTATCGTAGCAGCAAATATGCTAGTGCAGGTCATCGTGGTAGTAGCCGCAGTCGTAGTCGTTCTCCATATAGGGGTGGGCGATATTCTCGAAGCAGATCTCGATCATATTCTCGTTCCCGTTATTCTCGCGAACATGATAGAAACATTTATCGTTCACACTCACGTAGTCCAATGTCATCTAGACGACGTCACGTTGGAAACAGAGACAATCCATGTCCTTCCAGATGTTTAGGTGTGTTTGGACTTTCCATTTTTACCACAGAGCAACAAATACATCACATCTTTTCTAAATATGGGCCTGTTGAACGTGTACAAGTTGTAATTGACGCAAAGGTACTTGTGTATTAATAGGTTATAAACTATGATAAGATATTTATATTAATTATATATTATTGATATACATATACAACCCCGTAACTATTTAAGAAAAAGAGGGGAATAATAAATTATACCAGAGATTTAGAATGTTCATACATTAAGTTTGTGTAAAACATTAAAGGCCTCTGGTCACATTTTATTTTACTTAAAAAATGAGTAATATAAAATTTTGTATATATTTACATTATATATTTTTATTAAAAACACGAAATGATATATAAATATTTATATTTTAGACTGGAAGATCCAGAGGATTCTGTTTTGTATATTTTGAATCGTCTGAAGATGCTAAAGTAGCAAAAGAACAGTGCACAGGAATGGATATCGATGGCCGAAGAATAAGGGTAGATTTTTCAATAACACAACGAGCTCATACACCAACTCCAGGAATTTACATGGGAAAACCTACACATCTACATGATAGAGGATGGGATGGACCCAGAAGACGAGAGTGAGTATATTTTCAAAGATTTGTAAAAAATTTGTAAAAAAAAAAAGCGGAAACAATTAATTTTATATTTACTAAACAGTAGCTACAGAGGAAGCTATCGACGTTCACCTAGCCCATATTACAATCGCCGCCGTTCACGCTACGATAGATCTCGATCACGTTCCTATTCGCCACGTAAGTTTATTTTTTATTCTGCTACATAAACTAATATAAGCAGTCTACATGGATATGTGTCTCCTTTACCTACATTTACATAGCAGTCAATTAAATATAGATATAAAAAACCAAAACTCATTGATTTGATATTGTATAATTCGCCGATATCTGCTTTTTATAAACTTGAAAATATATTGAAATAAAAAAATATTTTAAACCTATTCATATATGAGAGATTAACAACATTAAATGAATGTCAGCTAATATATAATATGGAATTTAATCTTAATTTTCATGAGATTTTAAAAACAAAGAATTAAAAATATTTATCTGTATGAAACTTAACATTTTACTTATATTTCTTTATTTTGTTTAATTTATTTTAATATTAGATAACTTCTAGAATTATTAATATTAAAAAAATTAGCATGTTTTAAAGGTTGCGTGAGATAAAATTTGCTGTATCATGAAGTGTTTTCACACAGACATTGATTTTCCTCTAAATAAAAATATATGTATAAAACACATAAACATTTATAAGTGAATTTGAAATTTGCATAACCATTCACTTATAACACAAGTTCTTAATTTAGATTCATATTTTCGTAGACCGCTTATATTTACTTCAAGAAAGATGTTTAAGTACAAATAAGTAGTTAAATTAGCAAGAATGGAAGACAGGAGCATCAAGGAATGCATCCAATAAATCGTACGGTAGTAACTAAGTGTAACCCGTAAGATGGGTCAAACAATCATAGTTTTTGTTGCTTAATGAATTTCAGGTCGATATTAAGTGACACGAGTGTGATGCGAGAGGCCAGGTGTTTGGGAGACCATTTGTGTGACTTGACCCTTTGACCTCAAATTTCTTCTAACAATACTGTACCGGGTCAAAAAAATGCAATCGCTACATTCTTTTATTACTATTCTTACCTTACCTAGTTCTGCATTATATGCAATTAATATACGGCATTTAAATTACGGTATTGTACAATATCAATTAATGAGAATTTAATATGCAAAGGAGTATAGTATATTCTTTGCATGAAACAGTAAGGTTAGAATGGACGCAAAAACCTTATTTTCATAATGTTTCTATAATTTTCTAAAGAATTTTTATGAAGATAAGGTTTACATATTGTAATAATGGTGATGCTAATATGTGAAGGTTGGAATATAATAATAAGTTTCCATTTTTCTTTAACTTTAATTATTTGCTTAAAAATTATATTCCAGTCATTCTGGTTTTAAATATAACTGGTAACGTGTTATAAATCCGGAAAAATATGGTATTCTTGAATGTTTATATGAAAAAGAAAAAAATATGGAAAGGCCGAAACACACATACAGAAAAGAATGAAACAAAACAAAAATAAAATTAAAAATAGAACTATGTTCTCTAACCTGTTTGTTTGTTTATAAGGTTTTGAATCAAGAGGTATTGGATGATAGAGGGAAGTTTGAAGTTTCACTGAAAAAATGAAAGTTTTGAAAAGTTGAAGACAAGATATCTCAAGATGTTTGTCTTGCTCGAATTTTGAAGATCCGAAGGTTTTTCGCGCTTGTGACAAAGAATATGATCCGAATCGCATTCCTTACCGGCTGAGAAGTCTCAAGCCTAGAAGAACTGCAAGCACTCTGTAAAAAGCAAGCCTGAAGACAGTAAGAAATTGTTGATCATCAGGCCCCCGACCTGGACAAGCCAATGGTTGGGGGTGAAACTGGTCGAACGTTTCAGAAAATATTCAAGAAGCATCGAAATCTTTTATGAGTAGGGAAGAGCGTAAGCTGCTCCAAGGTTTATACCGATCATATTCTTTATCAGTTGATTTGGTTAAATAATATATCCGTAAATAGGTGTTATATAATAAATAAACATATAACCTTCGCCCTTATTCCCTCCACCATCCTGAAACCTCCTATATATCCTTAAGGGTGACATCCTATTGTTTTCATTTTGTATAGGAATAAGCAGCGGCAATTCAAATTGAAACAGCTAATAAACAGTGTTTTTTAATATAAATAATTATTTACTTGTAACATTTATTTTAAAATCTATAAAAAGTTATGATAATAAGTAACATACAAAAATCTTTATTTGTTTTAATTTTATAAATACTAATATTATACTAATTGAATAAGTATAAATTTAAATTTAAGATTTGAAAAAAAAAGTTATATACGTACAAAGTATTGTAAGTTAGAAAATATACAAAAATATTATGCATGGAATGTTGACACGTTAAAATTTTATATCAATAATTAACAAAATTTGTCAATACCTTATAACATTTGATATTAATATCAACTACATATAAGTTATGCAAAGATTTCTGTGCATAATTTTTAAAAAATTTGCCAATTTAAAAGAAAATTTCTATTAAATTAATATTGTATTTACAAATTTAATTTCTACCTATCTAAAATAAACAATTATATTAATACTTATCAGTTATATGTCAATATTATATATAAAAATGTAATTTTTCATGAAAACATGCCAGAAATCATATATATAAAGCGCCTCAATAAAAGCATAGAATTGCATATCTGTATCGATAGAGGTACGGTTTAAGAAAAGAAAACATGGATCGTTTTGATGTTGGTTTGTTATGGAAATTATGGTTAATCAGTGTAATAACAGTGAATTGTAATGCCATACCAAAAGAATCATATCAGAATCAAATACCTGTACAGGCATTGTATAATGCTAGTGATAATGTTGTTATTTTAAACGTCACTAATTTTAAATCTTCTGTCTACGAAGATACAAAAGGTTGGTTAGTTGAATTTTACAATAGTTGGTGCGGTCATTGTTTTCGATTTGCACCGGTGTGGAAAGAATTCGCTAATGATATTTATGGTAAGTAAATTTTAATCATTATAGAATGATTAATAATTCACATTAAAAACATATCACTTGCTCATTCATGGACATGTCTTATTTAATATAAATAATATTCCTAAAACATACTATTTTTTATTTTTTATTATATTTAATTTGCAATATTCTATATTAAAAAATGTAACATTATTAAAGAAATACATGTGATAAATTTATCTTTATTATTGTTAAGCAAGTATATCTTTAAGAGACTTTTATCTAATATCTTTAAATGTATGTTATATGTGAGAATGATCATATCATACAAATAATTTATTTCAATAATATTTTTAGCATGGAGAGATATTGTAGTAGTTGCTGTAATAGATTGTGCTGATGATGATAACAATCCAATCTGTCGCGAATATGAAATTATGCATTATCCAATGCTTAAATACTTTTCTATAAATGCACATCCACCATCATTGGGATTATTAATGGAAAAATATGATGATATTAATGAACTTAGACATAATTTAATAGATTTGTTAGAAAGAGAACAACAAGAAGGAAGAGGTATTTCATGGCCTAATATAGCACCATATAGGTATATTATATTTTTTAATTATATTTTATAATTTATATTTTTTACAATTTTATAGTTATTTTTTTAAATAATAGAAACTAATTACTTGTTCTAATATTATAGAAATTATGAAACAACAAATATTTGGAAAGCTACACCAAATAATGTAAAATATGTTTTCTTACTGTTTGAAAGGACAGATTCACATTTGGGTGCTGAAATTATATTAGATATGCACAAAATTACATTATTACAAATAAGAAGAATATTATCTGACAATGAATTATTATGCGAGACAAACAAAATCACAAATTTTCCAAGTTTAATAGTCTTAGGTCGCAATGAGACACAAAATTTTCTTAAAATTAGAATACCTACAAGAGAAGGTGTTTTCAATACCATTAAAGAATTTCTGATTTCAAAAGGAGAAACTATTCATGAACAAAATTTTATCAAAAATCATTCAATAAAAAATGAAAATCAGAAGTTAAGTGTTAATACTCCAAAACAACCACAGACAACAGAACAGCTAGAAAATACAGAGATAAGCGAAGATTATTTATATCAACTTGACTTGGAAAATGCATTAAAGTATTCAATCTCTCATGAAATTTCATTACAGAAAATGATAAAAGATAAAAAAATGGATGCATTGAAAAAATATTTAAATGTTTTGACTGAATATTTTCCTTTGAGATATGGTAACATTTTTCTAGAAACCACTAGAGATATTATTAAAAAAAGAAATAATATATCTGGGGAGGAATTTAGTCAAATAATAAAATCTATAGAAGAAGAAATGTCACCTGTATACTCTGGACCTTCAAAGTGGATTGGATGTAAAGGAAGTAAAGAAAGATATCGTGGGTATCCCTGTGGCCTTTGGACAATGTTTCATATGTTGACGGTTAATTTTGCTATCCTAAATAAAAATGTTGAATATGAACCAAGAAAAATATTAGAAGCAATACATGGATACATAGAAAACTTTTTTGGATGTGCTGATTGTGCTCAACATTTTGTTCAAATGGCCGCAAAAAACAAAATGTTTGATATATCTAATGCTAATGACAGTATTTTGTGGTTATGGTCAGCTCATAATGAAGTAAATACAAGACTATCAGGTGATGATACAGAAGACCCAAAACATAAAAAAATTCAATATCCAGCAGCTGAACATTGTCCAAATTGTAAATATGAAAATGGTACTTGGAATGAAGAAAATGTTCTAGTTTATCTTAAGACAAAGTATAGTTATACAGGAATAAATTATTATGATTCAGTCAAAACACATAAGAATAATAATGGTAATAATAGTAATAAACTAAAAATAAGACAAGAAAGACTAGTACTAAGTAAATATACAAATAATAAGAAAACTGGATGGGATTTTACAATTTTTGACATAAGCATTTGTGTCGTGTTATATGTTGCATCTGCAATCATACTTATATTAGTTTGTATAAAATTTGCAGTCAAAAGAACTTACAGAAAACGACATTACGTCAGTTTATTTGCAAAATGTGATTTTTATTTTTGTTAATAGAGAAATATAAAATTTGAAAAAGAAATCAGTTTTAAAAAATTAATAAAATTAAAAATATAGTTATGTTTATAAATATATTGTACATATATTATTTCGAATCGTACAGTTTTTTTTACAAGAACATAATAAGTATACAGTTTTAATTACTCTTTCAAATGATATTAATTAAAATCAAAGTATATTATATATTTATTCTTATTTATTACGAATTTAATGTATGAGATTATGTAAGAGTGGGAAAAACATGTTGATAATTATCTAATCTTAATGTATAAAATTTTATAACAAGATTATATGTTCTTTTTTTGTCATGAGACATCAATTAAATTATGTCAATACAAATATAATTGTACATTCAGCATTATTGCATTAAAATGAAAATATGTAGTAAAAGTTAATTAAATATTTAAGTTTAGTATATAACACCATATAACTATTGAACTAATACGTATTAATAACAAAAAACTAGTCTTATCAATGTACAATTACATTGTATTTAATATAAATTATTACAATGATTAAATTTTTATGTATATAAGTCAGACAATCCTCAGACAAATATTTTATAAACTGAATTAAATTTTTTATGTGTAAATATTAAAATCAAACTCTTTTGCTATTTTGTTAAAAAATATGCATTGTAATATCTTTTCTAATTTTTATAAGTTATTCAATAAAAATGATTTTATGTATATAAGTCAGTTCATATATTTGTTCATGTATTTGTAAATTATTAACAATTATAATCTAATTTTTAATCTATTTCAGTAATATATTTTTAAATATATTGCATTAATTGAATAAAAAAGACATACTTTGTAATATACATAATACAAATTAATCAGTTTAATAAAGTTATTTACTTTTGGAGTTTGTATATAGCCATGAATTTGATGTATCCCATATTATACCATTATGGGGTAGTTGAGATTTTATATAAGGAAGTATCCACGTAAGGTACCATCGATCACCTAATACTTCCTTTAAATTTTGTTTCCAACCTAAATTATATATATGTATTTTCTTATTACTCTCATTAGCTACATTACCATTAAATATTAGACAAAAGTGATAAATACACAAAACTCCTGTGTACAACATTCCTACTGCAGATACAATATATAGTATGAGATAAAACTGATTTATAGAATCATCAAATCCAAAAATAAAAATTGCTAAAGGAAAGATGATTTTAATAAGTGACATAGGAAATTCAAAATGCATCTTATTCCAAATAAAGAAATTGTTGTAACAAAAGCTATATGTTGTTGCTACAAATAAATATACCACAAACATGATAAAGTATCTATGATTATAATGACCAATGCAACATCCAGTAAAAATACAATGATGATCCCTCTTTAAAATACATATATTACATGTAGAGCAATGCCATGAACGTGGAGGTGCAAGAGTTTCACATGAAGCACATAATCTCCAACCATCTTTAGTATTTGCAGCACTTATTGGCATAATATCTCTTCTAGTACTAGTATCACAAAATACTATGTAAGTGAAGTTTCCAACTATATTTAACATGATAAAATTTCCAAAAAAAAAATGCAAAATATATGGCAATGATCCATATTTGTGCACTGCCGGTAAAACCACCCACAATTCAAACCAATATATTACTGGTATAATTATTAATATAAAAGTCATAGAAAAGAAGTCACTTAAAGTGCGAGGCCAAATCCTTTTTCGGATAATCATTTTTAATATCTTTTTACTTTTATTAAACACGTGATTTTATTCAGCAGATAATATCTGCTTATTGAAACTTATCAATACTGGATCATTTTGTAGTGATGCTATTTCATTTAACCTAAAAATTTGAAATCTTAAAATATTTTCTACAATAATTTTATCCAGTATATATTTACCAAATCACATTATATATTTTGTTCAATTTATCATTTTAAATGTGCACGTGAATTATCATCAGTATTCGTAAATTTTATATGCGCGCGAAGTTTGATTCCTCTGTCAATATTAACTTACTTCATAGTATTCTTATACAATGCGATTTGAAAGTACCCATGTGTACTCGCATATACGTACATATGGATGCACTCATAAATTCCATGATAGTACTCTTAAACAGTTTTATTTTAGTACTTTATTAAACAGTTATATTTTAGTTAATTTAAATTGTAAAAAAAGCAGCGTCCATTTAATTTTCCGTTTATCAAACATAAATAGTTTTAATAGAAAATATTGTCATATTAATTTGTTATAGAACAATACTACAATATAGTTTTGAATTATTAATATGGAAACTATTGAGGAATTTCCTTTTCCTTTCCCTCCATATCCAATACAAACTCAATTTATGAAAGAATTATATAAATGCTTGGAAAATGCACAATTAGGAATCTTTGAAAGTCCAACTGGTACTGGTAAATCCATGTCAATTATTTGTGGTGCTTTAAAGTGGTTACTTGATTATGAAGAACTGCAAAAGAATCAATTGACAACTGCAATTTCTGAACTTGATGAACAAATTAAACAATGTACTAACTCTTCTGATAACTGGTTTTCTGTACAAACTCAACAAATAGAATTAAACAATAAAAAGCAAGCATTGCAAACAAAACTAAATAATATTATTCAGTATGAGCAAAAAAAGAATGTTTTAAAAGAAAAAAGTAAAAGTATGAACAATAAGAGAAAGAATTCATCTAATAAAAATATAACAAATTCTACAAAGGATAAACATGAAGCACAGAATGATCCAGTTGATAAAATGAATGAAAAAGAAAGTATTGAAGAAAGATTACTTCTAGAAGACCTAGAGCATTCAGAAAGTTCTGAAGATGAAGACAAAGAGGAAATTTATGAAAATGTAAAAATTTTCTTTTGCTCTAGAACTCATTCTCAATTATCCCAGTTTATAGGAGAACTCAGAAAAAGTCCTTATTCAAAAAATGTATCTGTAATAACATTATCATCTAGGTAGTTTTGTAAACATTATTTTGTAAGAATAAAATAAAAATTCTTCTTCTGATTTTGTTAATAATTTTAGGCAAAATTATTGCATTAATAAAAATGTAAAAAAGTTAAAACATTTAAATTTAATAAATGAATGCTGTTTGCAATTACAAAGGAAAAAGGCAACTGTTAGAGATGAAAAAGATCTTAAAAGAAAAAAGATAACCAATAATTGCTCTTTTCTGCCAGGAAATCAAGATTTACTAATAGGAGAAAGCTTGACAGAGATTCAGGATATTGAAGAAATTGTCCAAAAAGGAGAAAGTCTTAATACTTGTGCATATTATGCATCAAGAAAAACTATTCCATATAGTCAACTAATATTAGTACCATACAATACTATATTGCATAAAAATACTAGAATTAGTTTAGGAATAAACTTGAAAGGAAATATATTAATAATTGATGAAGCACATAATTTACTTGAAGCCACTGAAAATATACATAGTGTTATGATTACAGGCAGAAATTTATTGCATTGTTATAGCCAACTTTCCCAATATCAAAAAAGGTAACACATCTTATTTCAATCATTGTTGTAATATTATAAATAATAATATATCTAAGGATAAAAATAATATTAATTTTAGATTTCAAACATTATTCTCGGCTAAAAATGTTTTGAACTTAACTCAACTAAGCTTTTGTTTGAGAAAACTTATAACAGTTTTAGGAGCTACTACAAAATCAAATCCTGATGATGTTACAAATGCAGAAGCATCGCCAAAGTTATATAAAATAGAAGAATTTGAAGTAATGACAGAAATTGATACAGTAAATATATTTGAATTATTGAAATTTATTAAAAATTCTCAATTAAGTCATAAACTACAAGGATTTATAGAACAGTATAATACAAATTTAAAAATTCATAATTATAATACAAAAACATCTGGCATAAAACAATTTTTGCATTCAATTAAAACAAAAAACACAGAATCTGATACAGTGATAGATATGCATCCAAAAGAAGAACAAACAAATAATCCAATAATAGCGATTATAAGTTTCTTAGAATGTTTACAAAGCTGCTGTAATGATGGACGCATATTTGTCATTCCAGGTCCAACTGTTGGACAAAGTAACATAAAATATCTTTTGTTAAATCCAGCAGCACATTTCCATGATATTGGTATGCAGATCAATTTAATATAGCTTAATTTACTTTATTCTATTTTATATTAAGTTTTAACATTACAGTGTTCTTTTGATTATTTTTAAAATTTATTTACAATTATTAACAGTTCGAGATGCTAGAGCTATAATATTAGCTGGGGGAACAATGGCACCAATGAGTGAGTTTACAGAACAATTATTTATAGCAGCTGGTGCTCCACCTGAAAGAATTATTACATATTCATGTGATCACGTAGTTTCTGAAGAAAACATAGTTTGTAATATTACAACTCGTGGACCAACTGGTATTGAATTTGAGTTTAATTTCCAAAATCGAGAAAATATAAAATTGGTAAATATATCATGATAGTAACTAAATCATAATATAAATACTTCTAATGATTAATATAAATGATAGACTCTCACAATGAAATATTTCAGTTAGATGAATTAGGAAGAGCATTATTAAATTTATGCAATATCATACCAGCTGGAATTATAGTATTTTTACCGTCCTATAATTTTGAAGAACTAATATATAAACATTTAGAAAACTCTGGTATTATTACAAAACTTTCCTTAAAAAAACATGTTCTTCGAGAACCTAAAATAGCCTCTCAGGTAATATTAAAAATTTTTTTTTTTAATTTTGTTATAAAATCGTTCTACAAAATCATAAATTTAGGATAAATTATAAATTGTAGGTACATGAAATTTTAGAACAATATTCACTTCACGTAAAAAAACCAAAAACCCCACAAAATGGATCATTATTGTTTAGTGTAGTTGGAGGAAAATTAAGTGAGGGATTAAATTTTTCTGATGATTTGGGAAGATGTGTTATAGTTGTAGGAATGCCTTACCCTAACATCAAATCATTAGAATTACAAGAGAAGATTAAATATTTAAACGAAAATGTTGTATGTATTTATTTTGTTTTTTCATTATAACATAACAAAAAAACCACTTAATGTCATATATTAATTTATTATTGATTTATTAGAAATCAGATGCTGGTCAAAATTTCTATGAAAATTCATGCATGAAAGCAGTAAATCAATGTATTGGACGAGCTATTCGACACATTAATGATTATGCAACTATAATATTATTAGATAAACGCTATACTTGTAAAACAAAAGCACTTCCACATTGGGTTCAACGTACATTAATTGTTCATAAAAATTTTGGTAGCACAATGAGTGCTGTAGCTAAATTTTTTAATAAAAAGAAAATTGATAAAAGTAGTTGATAAAAAAATAACATAAAAGAAATGACAGTATAAATTAATTAATTACTATCATATTACTATTACATTACTAAAACTACTCTTTTATCAGGTCTTTTTTTTTAATATAGATATAAAATATTTTAATATAAATATAAAATGTATAGCTTTTACATATAATTTGCAAGATGCACTTCAAACTTATATGTCAGATCGTGGTAATAAACTTGACCAGGATATAATATAGAACATGGAAAATGTGACTGAAAACAATTTATTTTGTATGTTAATTTTTGTAATTGTAGTAAAAAAGCCAAAATGTTTCATATATATATACTTACATAATGTATTGCATTAGGATAATTTTGTGGTTGAATACTAAAAGCACAATATTTTTTATAATGAGCTCCATGTTTTCCTAAAATAAATTCTAATTTTTTTGGCACAGTTATTATTTTTTTATAATTTTTTTCAACTTCCATTTCTTCTTCCTCATCTTGTTCAGTGTTATAAACTTCACCAATTTCATCTTCTTCAATGTCCTGCAACAGTTAAATTTATAAAATATAAGTTAATATTTACATAAGTAAAATGTTGTTGGTAATTAAAATATTGATTTACTTCTAATAAATCATTACTAGACAAAAATTCTGGAATAATATAAGGTGGTAAACGACCTCCAGTATAAAACTGTACTCCACGTTGATCTGAATAAATTTCTAAAGCACTAAATATCAATAGATTTAAAGTAATCATATTATTTAATAAACAATTAAAATATTCGATTTAAATATACCGTCCACTTTTTACATGCCATACTTTGGCAACAAATGAACTACCAGATTGTCCACTTTTTGTAACACATAAATTATGATCATAACCTTCCCCAGGTGGTACCTAGCAATATTTAATAGCAATAATTAAAGAAAGAAGTTCAACATTTAAAAACATGCAATTATATTATACCTTGCCCATGTATTTTCCTAAAATTCGGGGTATTCGAAAGTCCATCACTGTTCCACCTACACCATGTATAGCACCTGTTGGAACTGGATCTGTGTAATCCGCAAATGTCCAACGATCACAATTCAATAATACTTTATGCTTTCGTAATTCAAGTTCTCCAGAGTCCTGTTACAATTTAACTCATTTAACTAAATGTATATTCAAAAAGATACTACTTACATGTCCAGCTAAATTAAACATAGAACCATGTGATAAATTCACTATTGTTGGCTTTGAAGTTGTTGCTCTCATATATATGTCAAGCTTATTTTCTGGAGTCAATTTAAACTTTATTGTAGTTAATACTGCACCTGGATAGCCCTCCTCACCATCTTGACTTAAGTAACTCATAATAACTGAACAGCCAGCAATATAGGAATCCCAAACTTTACGACCAAATCCATTTGTCTGGTGAGAACGTTGTTTTTTATTTATATAATATAATATATATAATATTATATAATGTATATAATTATTGTTGTATATCACTGTATATTATTTACATAATATATAATTTATTACCCCTCCATGTAAATGGTGTTTTCCATTAAAATCATTTTTTGTCAATTCATAATCTCTGCCTCTAATAGTGATATATCCATTTTTAATGCGATTTGCACATCTGCCTAATATACAGCCAATAAATGGATTTGTTACAGGATTTGAATATCCTGAAATAGTTCTATTTTAATAATGACTGTTTAACTTTGTTGAGTTACTATTAGAGAGATTATTAATATTAGTATTAATAAGAAATTAATATTAAAATTATACCTTTCATATCATCAAAACCAAGGACAATATCAACAGAATGTCCATATTTATCTGGACATTTTAATGATACAATTGTAGCACCCCAGGTAATAATAACAACTTCCATTCGATTAGTATTTATCATAGTATATGATTTTACCATTTTTGTTAGAGGGTCATTGAAAATTTGATCTTTATTATCTGATTACAAAAGTTTATTATTAATTTAAATGTATTTAATACATTTATGTTATGTAATAAAATAAAAATATCAATCAACTTACCAATCCAGACTTCTCCAAATATTCCCTCTGTAATTGTTACATTTTTACAGTTACATCCATGAAAATCCATATTTAATGGCATAATTATGATTACTGCAATACTTTATTAATAATTATTGAATATAATAAATATTAAAATTTATTGTAAAACAGTAATTTTTACTTTTTTAAATATAAAGAAATTAAAAATACATATTTTTTTGTTTAGACAATAGAAAATCATGTGTTCGTTTCTAATAATATACAAAAACAGTTTTTACTATGAAACAGTAAGAAAAGGAATTTAATTTTATTTTTACTGTTATTTTAAATGATTTATTAATAGTAATAAGACATCACCTACAATTTGTGATGCTTTAATGTTACAATAGTTATAGTAATTAATGTAATATATATTTACTTCAGTTACTATTTATAATTTATATAATTAATATTTATAGAATAATGTACAATGCTTGGAAAAATACATGAATTTTTAGTGCAAATCAGACACCGCATTAATACATTTCCCATTTAATTTTCATATGCTTTATTACATTTAAATTTGTTGAGTAAAAAATCGAAGACAATATATCTTATTGCATTTCTTTAACGAAATCACATTTTTTTTGTTTTGTAATTTTGTATAATAAATCGGATAAATATTTCTTTTTTTCATATATCATTTTAATTTCATATATAATTATAGTTTCTCACAAATATGAGTGATCATGCAGTGTTCAATACCTTTGTTTGGCAAACTATATTCATTGCAGAAAATTGTTTCAAATTTCTATCATCTTCGTACAATTGTTATTAGAGTTATATTACATAAAAGATTTGTTTCTCAAGCTTTGGGTTCTGCATTATATTATTTTTAAGGCGCACACCAAAGCAGTCACTTGTTACTTAAATACACGTGGAACACATTGCACTTAGCTTATTAGTAATACTCTTAGAACTACAGAGTAATTTAAAATTTAAATAAATCGTCAGTAATTACGGATTTACGAGTTGCAATACATTCTACGTTCTCTAAGTTTGTATATTACAAAAAGAATACTGACATAAAATTAATTTCACACATGAATATCGAATAATTAAAAATTGTGATAAAACTGTGATAAACTCCTCAACATCAAATATAATTGAGGATAATAAAATTGCATAGTATATTTTGCAACAAATAAACATATAAATAATGGAGGATATATACCACAGCAAATACTTTGTGTACATTAAAAGCACACTTATTTCATAATTATCCTCTTGGTCATAGGTGTTATTGTACAAATTACTATTTATAAGCAGCATGCAGTTTTAGTGCAACTTCAACAAGAAAATATTTACAATTTAATTTTATATTGAATGAAACACGTTCAGAATAACAATATTTGGTCATATTAAATTGCTTAAATAAAGAATTGATCTGATTTATTAAAAATAATTATCTTATGTATATAAATTAAGTTTTATAACATATGAATTAGCGAATATATTTACTGGCAATATACATATAAAGTTATATTTTTTATATAGTTATTCTGAATGTTTCTTCATACATACTGTCTAATTAACAAAACATATAATCTACAAATGGTCTTTAATGAAATACAAAAACTGGATTTTTCTTATTTTAAGCTAAAGAAGTTATAATATATAAAAAATAAATATAGCTTAGACTAGCACTGCTGGCGATCACACGCCATTACACAATTGATAGTTGATAGCTGCCTAATATTACATTCGGTATAAGTAAGTTATTGTTTCTATAAACAGGTATTGATTTAGCATTCTAAGACTTCATTAAATATTTTTCAATTACCTTGGAAGCATTTTCAACTTTTTTGTCTTTCTTAACATATTAAGTACATGATACTAGCACCGCAGAATATCTTTGTACAACATAGAAAGGCATATCCATGAAATATTTTTTCTATAGATCTCTAATAACATGATAAATGTTTCAGTCAACCGATTATTTTTACTTATATGCAAGATTTCACAAATTGAACTTTGAAAAAGTATAAGTAAGACTCAGGTAAAATGTTTAATATTATATCCTATACATTTTTATATGTATAAATGCCAATTTAATGTATTTAACATTTTTTTTTCAAAAATATTCAAATATATCTTCAATACTTTAAAAAGAATTTTGTTAGTAAGTCAGTACAAAAACTTTCGAATGAACTAAAAAATAATTAATAAATTATTTAAAAATTAATTACAATGTAAAAATGATAAAAAAAAAGTTAAACTTCCTTCAAAGTTTATCTTTTTTCCTTTCTTTAATTCTATAATGTTTTATATACATTAAGATATATTCTACAATACTGATTATTATTCAGGAAATTATTAGAAAAACATATAAGTTCTGGAATAAAAATTTGTTCTTTTATATATATTTAACTTTTCATAATAAGATCAAAAAAAGAAAAGAATTATTTTGATTCTCCATAAAATAGCGTAGAATATACGCAACATGTAAATAAGTTTTGATTAACTTTTATATGTCTAATTTAAATCATAGTTAGTTGTTATTTAGTATAGAGTCAATAAATTAAACACAAGATTAAACATAACAAAATTAAGTTAAGTTCAATTTGTTTTAGAAACTACGAAAATGCAGAATATAAATTAAAATAGAGAGTTTCATAAACTGATTTCCTTTCTATTTTCTATCCAAGTTGATTGAAAAAAGAAAAGAAATACATTTACAATATTCTAATTATGTATTAGCATTTTAAGTAAATACAAAATAATTTCTAAAATATTCGTGCATTTAAAACTTTAATAAAAAAAAAAGAAAGAAAAAACACTTTATATAACCACTGTAAAGGAATGTATCGATCATTATTGTTATTATATTGTTAAACAATAATTGTCCAATATATACCTATATGTACAATAGTGATTATGTATATGGAGTGTCCTTCTTCTAAATTTTTGTATATCACGCATTAGATGGCTATATACTTTTTATAAATGAACTAAGTATGTATGCCAAACATTTTGCTATGTATATGCCAATTATTTCAATACATACTGTTTTTATATATAAAGGAAATATTGTTTTAACTGCACATGGCATTCCTAAATTAAACATATTATTCTAACAGCTTATAAATGCATTAAAATTGCTACTGTACAAACTTTTCACACGTGTATCTAGTGCCATGGTACCTGTATAAGGAGTAAAAATTAATAAAATAATATAAGAAACCTAATAATTTAATATCAAAAAAAAACCATATATCTATTATAATTCTTACAAATTACTGATATTTCATATCTAAGCAAACCCAGGAAAACATTGTGATTTTATGAAAAGTTACTATTATCTATTATTCATAATATAAAATTATTCTATAAGTATACATACATATATTGTCACAAAGTAAAATTAAAAAAATCATAAATGATTCTGTTAAGTAATCATCAATGTTTTCCTGATTATATGTTTCATTCTGTTGTTATGCAATAATTAGCTTTAACATTTAAATATCTTTTTCAGTCACAAAAATTTTGATGGAATGTAAATTATGATTAACATTAATATTTGTAATAAATATGAGCAGACAGTTATAAAACTGAAGGAACAACAAATTCATTCTCTCATTTTCTCAATTCTCATATCTAAGATATTATTAACAAACAAATGAATGTATAGAATTTAATCTTTAATATTTTGAAAAAAGGATCTAATATCATAAATTTTATAATATAATAAGTATATGCAATTTTATATACGTTTTTTCAGAGTATTTGAATTAAAATATTTACCGCTTCTCAAAGTTTTTCAAGTACTCATGCAAATAATAGAAATATATTGTATTTATATGCTAAATGCTAACAGCAGATGCAGAATGTGCGGAATGTATGAATAAAATATTTATAATACCTAAAATACGATTTAAAAACGTTCCACAGTATTGAATGGTCAATGCAAGAATTGTCATTTTGATATTTATACTATTTCTACAAAATATAAATGAGACATATCAGTTCTTTATCAAATTAAAAACAGTCTAATTGAATACAAGAGTCTTTTATAAGAATGTCTCGGTATATGGAATGTTACATTCTTATTGTATTTGATGACCAATATGAATACATGATAAAATGTTTTGCAGGAGGCAGTGCTTTGACAACGTGCATCGCTGTATTTTCTAATTATGATTCGATAAATTTTTGCTGCATCATAAACTGTTTGATTCATGTGATTCCAATTAAGTATTACTTTCAAGATTGACAAAACTTTTCCAATCCCTAATTTTTATCATTTCTTTTCATCTTAAATAAGCCAATGCTATGATAAAAATTCTCTTTCTAATTCAGAAATGCTTGGTTTCCTATTTCTATTCATTCGTCGATTAGCTTGTAAAGGTACGGTTGCATCTTGATTCTGTCCATGTACAGGAATATCAAGTAATGTTTCTCTATGATCACGTGAAACTCCATCTCGATCAAATGTTACTGGAGAAAATCGAACCCTACTTATAGAAATTTGGCTATCTTTAGCTGAAACATAACTTGAATCCTCAGAAGTTAAAGAGTCCGGTGGAGTAGGATTTGTTGGAGTACCCGAACCTGAATTATTTTTACTTACGCTTTTATTTGGAGAATTATACGAGTAATTAGAACGTTTTAAACTTGAACGTAATCGACTAACTACTTCTAAATTACTAGGTCGTTCTCCAGAATTTGAATTTGAATCGTGTGAGTTCTGACGCGTCAATAATTGAGAACCATATTCATGATTAAGCATACTAGAACTATATGTTCCAACATTTGAAACAATATTTGAAGATCGTTGGTAATAATGTCCAGGTGAATATAAAGAATAATCATCCTCATCTTCTAAACGAAATGTTGGGTTAATATTACTTTGACTTGATGTACTTGCATTTGAAACATTTGATGAAGTACGATGATGGGTATATGAAGGAAGTCTCGACACTGGTCGAGCTGGACTATTTATGCTGCTTGGATTATCATAAGCATGTGGAAATTCAGAACACTCAAGCATTCTATCACTGAAAGAAAGAAAAATTTAAGTGTAACTATAATATTGAAAAATTTATGTTTGTTTAGAAAAAATTTATGTTAGTGATAAGAATTACTTACTGATAATCTGTAGGTACAAAATATGTTGGTTCTGGAGGTCTATAATATTCTGGTGGAACAACTGCATATACTGGAGGCCCATAGTCTGGAAAAGGAGTAACATTACCCATGTATATTGTTGGTACTCTTTCCATTCGATCAACTCTTCCAGCATCATGTATATACACATCTTCATTACTAGTGCTGCTGCTCTTTCTTCTGGGACTTGGTGTTGGTGCATTAGAACTTGTACTGCTTGCATAGTGTTGTGGTGAATCAGTAAATCTTAAAGGTTTATCAGGCATTACACTGGGTGGAAGACCAGGTGCTATACCACCCATATTACTTAAGAATGGTCTGTAAAGATTGTTTTAGTATATATATAATTTTTATATTTTAACATTTTAATAATATAATGTAATATAATTTAATGTTCTAATTTCATACCTGTAATGTCTTGCTGGTCCATGATACGTATTATGAGGATAACCACTACTTGAACTAAATTCATAATCAGGTCCAAGATAACCAGAATTACGGTTTGAACCAGTGTCTGCTTGAAACCACCATCGTGGAGACTCATCTTCACATTCACCAAGCCTTGGATATAATCTTGGATGAATTGGAGATATGTTTGACATTCTTACATCATATCCAGTAGCTACTCCAGCTAACATAGCTGCAATATTGTACAAAACCAGCTCTATTATGCTTAACTTTGGCTTCTTCATTTCTCCATTATAAAGAGTTGGCATTGGTACAGGCATTGGCATAATGTAAGGTCCAGTCAAACCAGGCTTCAAAGGATAATCTGATGTTACCCAATCAGTTGAAAGATCAGGTGGTAAAGTTGTATAATCTACAAAAATAATCAGATTTCTACAATAATAATGGTGATATTGCTATATATTTATAAAGGTATATGTACTTAGGAATGTGAAATATGATTAAAGTATTTACTTTCCTTTTTTATAATATCAAATTAATCAAACTATTATGTCATGATTATTACTTTTTATTTCTTACCTTTGTGCAAATTTTACAAGCCTTTTATAAATATTACATATGTTTATTATGCCAAATTTAATGTAAACAGTTTAGTATCCAAGTTATAACATGCTAACTTGTTATTAAATTACTTACAATTATTTATGTGTATAAGCACAATGTATTGCGTGCATCATATTAAAATATTACATGCCATAAATTTTGAACTATTTCTTATTATCAATGATTTTCAAAAAGCTTATACATTATTATTTAAAATTCATGTTAAATGCATAAAACCCATATTTTGAAATATTGAAAAATATTGAAAAAAGTGAAGCAGAGTGTAAAGAAAGAAGAAGATGAAAACTACTGTTAAAACAATATGTGTAAGCACTAATTTTAATCAGATTTCTACAATAATAATCAAAATCAAATTTTTTTCATTCTAGATAATTTTCATTTCTTTATTTTAGAATATTTTTCTGTCAATACTTTTTATTACAAATTTTGTTTGTTCAATAATAAATAAATAAAAAATAGTCATGTACAATATAAACACAAAATGTTTATATATTACATTTAAATTAATATATAAAATGGGGATATACAAAATACAACGATGTGCTTGTCACAAATGAGATTGGAATTTTGAGGCAAGAAAAAGACCAAACCCAAATGGCCTTAACTGTTAGGATCCTACTGGAAGCATGCAAAAGGATTTTTTTACGCTCGGTTATAAGTAATTATATAAAAAATTAACTTGTATAGAAAATAAATAATATTAAATATTTATTGTTTGTTTCATTTTCAGTTAGTATATTAATTAAAACAAATATGTTAAAGATTATTGATTTATAAAGATAATATTCAAAAAATATGATTTTAGCATAAAATGTATATATAAATATAATAATTAAAATATATTTGTCTAATATATAGTAATTTGTTTATTCATAGGAAACCGAGCGTAAAAATTCAGAAAACGAAAAAACAAAATTCAATGTGTCCAACTGAAAAAGTTTTATTGAAAAAATTTCTATTTCTAAATACAAGTGTGCGTGTTGCTTCATGTGTTGTATGTAACGTGTGCAAAATTTTAGAAATTTCTAAAAAATGTCGGAAATCTATGATAATACAAAAATGAAATCGCTGTTAAATTAGGCTGGATAATTAACGAAATCTGAAACTAATCCAAATGCATATAAAGCCTTAAGAAAAAAGATACAACTCTACTTTCGCAATCAAAATGTGATATTTTCCTATTATAATTTTAATTTAATTTCTTTCTAATTTCGCGATTACAATTATGCAAAAACACTCTTTTCCATAAACGCCTCTAACTAATACAGACAATTTTAATATAGAACTTTTTGTTGTAGTGGCAGAAGCACATGATCTTTTTTGACATAATAAAAGGCTGTTAGCTCTGCTTTGTTAGAATGTTATATACTCCAGATAACATCAGAAAAGAACCAACACCAGAAAGATTGCATTTACATTTTATATATTCATTAAATTACAGTTCAAAATATGAAGTTTTTATCAGTTTAAATTAGGATAAATAATTTTTAGATTATTGCAGGGTACTGACTACCCTTTATTAAAATAATGCTAGAGTAATATATCTATTATGTAATTTGATAGACATCAATTAAAATTATTTAACAAAATTATCAATTATTATAAAACGAATAATAAAACGAATTTTTATTCTTTATTTGATTCCTGATAAAATTAAAAATTACTTCTTATGAGATACATAATAATAATATGTACCATTCCAAAAATTCAACAGAAAGAAATAGTCTTAAACATAATATCAACATAAAAAAGGAAAACATAGTTTATCATTAAACGCGTGAAACTGTACATCTACCCTTAAAAATATATGTATATATTAAAGATGTTCTTTTTAGATAATCAGTAAATAAGAAATTTAACCGAACTGCATATTCATGCACTCTAATGAAAATAGCTTTAAGCACAATCTACTTAAATACAATTTAGCAAAACAAAAATGAAAAAGAAAAATATAAACATATAAAGGCACTATCCATTTGAGATCTGTACTTTCATAATAATTAAAACGAAAAAATAGAAATATCATTGGCCAGAAATATTAAAAAAAAAAAAAACAATCAGGTCTCTTATAAAATGTGAAACAATTGCGCAGCAATATAAAGAGACTTACGAGTGGGATAGATGTTTTCCTCAGAAAGGCCTGCAGTAAAGAAAATATAGGACTGTTACTAAAACATATAAAACAAAAAGAAGATATTTTCGAGATACGCGTCTACGAGTAGTATGCACATCTTTATCTTTGTGAAATGCAATGCTATTTATCATTCTTCTTTAAAAATTTCTCGGTATTCGAAATCTTAGACGAGTTGTAAATAATTGTATTCACATCTTCGGAACTTCTATGGGAAGGAGCATCTCTCAAGAATTCAATTAAATTTTTCTTCCCTCCGTAATTAATTTGGAAATTTTGACGTTCATAGTCCTGTATATAACCAGATGCATGTATAACTGAATTGATATTATCAACATGATCTTCACAACTACGCAAGTACTCGTTACTTTTCGATTTTTTATTTAATGAGGATTTCAAATTAAAACTTTGATCTACTTGCGGAATGCGTTGTTTTAAACACGCATCTGACGTGCCACTAACACAATCAAATGAGGTAAGGGATTTCTTGCATTTATTATCTGGGAATAAACTTAAAGAATTTTTCGAAATAGAACTATCATTTGAATGTTCGGAATCAAAATTACAAAGTTCTGACTCGAGGCTTTCGAAATCTATTCCTTCCCGTGAGTTAGCGGTCAAGAATTTAGGCATTGCACTACTTTGATCGGAGTCACGTCGATTAAATTGCGGTATAGATATTGTATTGTCTAAAGCACTGTATTCTACTTTAACAGCAGCAGTTTTATCGTCCAGAGCGTCTCGACTTCCCCAAGCTTTCATCTTATTAAAAACTCTTAAAGGACTTTTAGAAATTCTGGATTTATGGTGAAACTTTTTACCTATAGAGTTTTCCGGGCTCGATTCTAATCCATCTGTATCATTGATTTTAATCGTAACAGAATTTTTTCGTTCTGCACTATGCGGAGAATTTAAAGAACTTTTCCTTGATCCAGAGGGGGAACGAAAGAAATCAGCAAAAGCGGCTAACCGCGATTCCGAGCTATCTCGGCGTTTCGATTCTTTTGATTTACTTCTTTCGCGTTTCTTCTTTTTCACACGTTTCGCAGTACCAACCAAACTAGATGCTACGCTTTGCACAAAATTTGAAGAATACGATTGTTCCCAGTCACCAATCACATGTTTTTGACATCTAGGAGATGAAGTTTTTAAAGTGTTTCCAACTGTAGATTTTGAGTAATTGTCCATGACTAAATGGTCATCCGAGAAATGAGTTTTAAGATTATTTGTCGATTTGTTATGCAAGACCACAGATTCATAAATATCATTGTCCACAATAACTGAGTCTTCACCTATATTGCAAGGTGGACAGCTCGAACTTTGCACAATGTTGTTAGAATTTTCTGGAATGTTGTTATAGCTAATCCTAACGTGACAGTTAAATCCTGGTTGACTGTCTATCAAATTATTTGCTGAAGAGTACAACTTTCTGGAGGAGGGGTTACCTATTTCTTGAAGAAGCGGGGAACGATGTGCCAACAGGGCGGTACGTAGGGGTGTCTTTTCAAGATCTGGAGCAGAGCGAGACCACCGCTTGCCACCTGGAGATGCAGGATTTGGTGGTTGCGTGATAATAGCCCCACGTTCGCGTTGGTGGAGTGTAGATGGTCCCCAAGTCTTACCCTTTACTCCATCTGCTGGTACTAAGGAGGAAGACAAAAAACAAAACGCTACTCACTACAACACTAAGTTTCCCTCCTACCCTAGAATCTGTTAAACTTTTTCCGCGCTTCAAAAAGATAAAGGTGTTTCACAAAGATTATTAGCAGTTACTCATCATTAAGAATATTCTCAAAAAACGTTAGTTCTCAAAATATAAAATGTTTTACATTTAGTTTTCTATATTAAATGATTGCAATTGTGCAGTTCTTCTAATTTTCAAATTATCATTTTTTTTTCTACATTGTTACTAAAGAAAAAAAAAGAAAACAAAAAAAA